CTGCTAGGCTTAAGAGTTTTTCTTTTATTTTTACTCACTGGATTTCTCTTTGAACACTTTGTACTCCTACCATGACAACTTTGTGGTGTATCGCTATACTTACGAGGATCAGTGCTTTTGTATTTTAACTGTTGATCTTTAGCCTTACTAATATTAGTGTTCAGCATTTGACTGTTAGCTTGTGTCAGCAAGAAGGTATCACCTGTTTGAACTTTTGCACATAAATCTGAAGGTACAAGCCCTTAATAACTTAAATTTACCTCTGGCAAGAGATATTTCAGTGTCATAAGCCCTTAAGAAATCCTGCCCTATAATACAATCTGTTTCTAAATCTATATGCTTACAGATGTCAAACAAGTGTTCTGTCTCTAAATCATCTATTTTCATCTGAACATTATACTTGCCTAACATTTTAATAGGATGTTCTGTTATGAAAGTTCAAATACTTTGAGAAACAATGTCGTATTTTTATTTACTAGTTCTGCAATTAGCATAGAAGATTGAGTGCCCATGTCAACCAATAAAAAACATACTATACCCTCTATTTCTGCTAAAACTACTGGTGACACTTCATTAACACTATGGACACTCAATTTCTTATTCCAAACTGCCAGAATTACCTCTACCAGTAGGGATTACATTTTTGATTCTACCATGAATGTAGAGCTATCATTATTTCTAGGGAACATCCTTATGAAAAATCCCAACCTGTGGGATTTTTCTGTTTTTTACATATAGCAGACATCTGCAGTTTCTGGCTATATGGCCTTTGATTCCTCAGTTAAAACATGCTACCTGCTCATTTCTTTTCTGATAGCAGTTATTTACCAGGTGGCCTATCTTGCCACAGTTAAAGCATTTTAAGCCATCAAGCTTATTCTGCTTCTTTTGCCAGCCTGCTCTGTCATATCTGTTACTGCTTACTATATTTATAGTAGAGTGCTGTGGCTTATGGATCTGTTTTTCACGTAACTCTTCTCCTTCAGCTACTTCAATTAGATCTAGCAAAGTCATGTGAGGCATGTTTGCTTCATTTACATTTCTGTGAGTTACGTTACTGATTAAACCTCTTTCATAATGTGACTTCAAGGTATCTTGTATCCTCAGTTTGTTAGGATGTCTGTAAACTCTGCATATTCTGTTACCTAGTTCTTGTAGCTTATGCCCATAAACTCTTGACTGATTCTCCTCTTTGCTGAGTCAAGCTGTGTATCTGTGTTTATGTATTTCTACTAACATATGTGCTAAATACTGGAAATCTGCAGTTTCTCGAAGTTCGTTATAAGCACTAATGTAATGCTTTGCTTCCCCTGCTGTTCTCAGTCTCAAAATATTTTATTTTTGAGCATCGGTCCACCCTAAAATTATAACAGCTTCATTTAATGAATCTATGAAACATTCTATGTCTTTATCAAGTTTACCATGGAACAACGGTATCATGCTCATTAAGTTCGTAGCTCCACGTAGACCTACTTGTGTGGGTTGATCTGCCACAGCCTCAAAATGTGTGCCAGCCCTTCTATTAGTTCATGGTTGTGCACCCTCACCTGTAGTAGTGTCTATGCCAGAAGTAGCCATGTCTACTTACTTACTTATTACTTAAATCTTATAGTACTTAAACTCATTTACTTTCTTCTTCTCTTTTCATGACTCTAACCAAGCCCCCAGTGGCATGTTTGTGGACTTACAATGCTAGAAATTAGGTTTTGATACCTGTGGTGGACAGAGCACAGATAGCTCCAAATGACTAGCCTATATGGCAGTCCACATTATACAATGTATTTGTTTGTTTGTAATTATGCACAAAGTTTGACTTAATCCAGTTAACAATAGATTTATTCAAAATCCAGGTTACAGTCATGAGTGGAGTACACAAGTCACTTACTTGAGGAAGTTTACAGTTAGAATATAGAACTGACTCAGAAACTGAGATTCAAATCACAAAAATCATTTTAATGCAGTATATTAGAATTCTTGGCTACATCAAGATTACTGATGGTATCTTGAAATATTTCACTGTTAAAACTATTAAATTCTTCAATCTGAGCAGGTAACTGTACTTCAATGAAACTTTCTATAGTACCCATTAAATTACTTAATACTATCAGTAAGTTATCATTTAACACATTGATTAAAAACTGCTCAGCCATACCTTTCATTAATTCTTTAATATTAACACAGTACATTCAATTTCTAACTACATCAATCGACTATCAGGGAGATGGCAATAGTTATTTACACAATACTTGAGTGGGAAATTTTAGACATCTTCAACATTGTTATGGGCTCAGACATAGTTGGATCAGGCAGCATCAGTTTTTTTTCATCCTGCAGCTGGTTGTATGGCTTCTTTACACGAAACAGGAGACTGTAAAGATTTCGGTTGACATACTGGCAGCAGGTCTAATGGCTTCTTATTACGAGTCAGGAGACTGGAATTTAGCCCAAAACGTGTTGTTTTTTTATATACAGATTTCTTTATTATTCTTACAATTCTCCAAATAGTGTACACATCCAACTTGCAAGTAGCTCTCTCACTTAATTGGATGAACTTTGTTGACTCATCGTAATTCTCGGAACTAAAAACAAAAACTAATTCAACAATTGGTTATGATCGAAGATGATAAATTGGCAGCCTATTTGCATGTATTTCTTGTCGTCCTCTTCAGATCAAAGTTCCACCCAGTTTCCTTTTTTAAAAGTTGTTTTCAGTCTCTAATGAAGTTAATATAAACTTTCTCATAGCTATCTCTCTGCTGCTGTGGTATCAGTTTACATATAATTTAAACATTTGATCCTCATTATTGCCTAGAATATATCTTAGTTTATACTTGACATATACATTTCATTTCTTGGTCAAACATTGTTGTGTGACTCCTTGTATGAATTTATTAGGTGTGCCCAACTTTTTTTTGTATTGCATGTGGGTATATTGTACATGGAATTTTATGAAGTTATATTTCTCATTTCTTAAAGCATTTGAAAATAGTGTTAAAAATGCCTCAAAATCTTGCAAATGCTCCATACAGATTTTCCCACTAACCATATATATCCCGATCTTTCCTTAAAACAGGCTGACCCATTGTTCATCAAATAATCTCAATAAACAAGATTCAATGAATACTGTGTTAGTGAATTCAAATTATATGTTCAAAATTTATATATTACATTAAAACATTTGCATTAAAAACTTTAAAATGCAAAGCAACATCTCATTCTTTCAATAAAAATAGTAATACTTACAAAATTTCAATAGATATGTGAACATGCAAAAATTTTTGTTTCTGGTGGCAAGGCATGTGCATCTTGAATTGGGTTAAAAATGAACATATTTAAATAAAATGAGTAGTGGAATAGGAAAATTTACAGGGAGCATGCCTTTTAACAATTTTTTGTGTTATAAATTTGGAGAACCTTAGTGGGCAGAACATAGAAAATGCATTATGCAGCTTTTTAGTTACAAGAAACCAAAAGCAATGATTGTTAAGTTGTTTGTTGATAGATTAGAAATTATAACCTAATTTCATGCATGAATCACAAGGTAAACACAACCATTTTTTGATATATTCATGTGTTGTTCCAGTGAAGTTTGCACTCATTCCCTAGTGAGCTAATCTTTGTTAAAAAAGTTGTCTAACTTTTTTGCTGAAAAGCAAATCTTTCACCTTTCAAATATGTATGCTAGAACATAAATAATACATCATATTCAATAAAATAACTCTATAACTGACTATAACAGTCCTTCTAACTGAGATATAACTAGGTTACAAAAAAGTGTTAAATGTTAGGAGTGCCAACTTCCCTTACTGCTAAGTTACAAGATCAAGACATCTTGTTAACATATATTGCCTAAAATTTCAAAAGGACACTAGAAGCTTGAAATTTAAGATGAGCTCATCTTAGTAGTTATAAACAACTATGTCAAGTAAGATTATGTGGTTTTGAAAACTGCCTTGAAAGTAAGGACAAATGGACAGGACTTCTGTTGTGGGTTGACAAAATATTTATATCTCAGTAAGTGGAGATGGCAGAAAGTTCAAACAGTACATTAGACTTGGAATTGTTTGTAGATTGTGTCTAAAATAAGATAGCGTACGTGTCAGGATTTGGTGTTTTACTATAAATAAGATAGTGTACGTATTAGAGTTTGGTGTTTTACTATAAATAAGATAGTGTACGTGTTAGGGTTTAGTTTTTTATTATCTAAAGGAAAAAGATTGATAGTGCTTGTGTGTCACATGACAACAAAAGTGAAGATGGAGATTTTTTAAACGTTTTTTTTTTAAATTAAAAAATTAAATCTTATATAAAAATTTTAATCATAAACTGCACTCTGATGTTTTGTTTTCTTCTCTGTCATTCACTGTTCCAAGCAGAATGTATATACACCAAGCTTATTTGAGCCATACTGTGTGTTACTTAATAGATACACTTATATATTCCAACTGTTTTTAGTTGTATAAAAGAGAAGAGTTTTCAGATAAAAGAGCAACATAATGTTTATAAAAGCTAATCTTATTGTTATGACAGCGAAGTCACGCGACGCTGGGAGCATGCACGCTGGAGTTTCTCGAAGGATCATGAATTTTCATGGCAACTCTAGTTTGCTCGAGGCACCCTCTTTTTTAGTATATAAGCCTGGCGAGAAAAACCAGCAGGATTGAAGAGATAGATAATTGAGTCAAGCGAACAGTAGGCACCATAAGTAAAGTGTATGAATCACTGTGATTTATAGTATGTTTTACAAAGGTTGTTATGTTTAAATTGACTGTGGAAATTCTATGTATTACAAAGTTGTATCGAAAAAGAATAAACTAGTTGTAATCAAGAAAAGTCTTGTATAGCTGAAGTTCCTCGGAAAGTTCTAAACCTTTTTTAACTTGTGTTCAGACTATTTGTTTTCTGTTTGACTTTTGTGTAGGAAATATTTTCATATAGAATGTTGTAGATCTTGTTTAATCCATTATTTTACTAATAAAAGCTTTGTGAATATTTTTTAGGCATAAAGGGCAGAGAGACTTCAAATGTGGTGTGTGTGACTTCTATGGTTACACCTTTACAGATATAAGAAAACATATAGAGAGGAGGCATTCAGATCCAGTTTCAAGAATTGTTACATGTAATCTTTGTGGGCAGACTTTTAAGAATAAATTACAGTTAAAGGTAAGTCCAACTGTGAGAACATAGAGAGTGGGCTTAATTGGTATCATAAAGCAGGATTGCGTGTGCACGAGCAAAGCTTTGTAGGCTGCTGAATGAGATTAAGATTTTTCCATTTAAAAGCTGACAGACATGTGTAAAGTAAAACGTTTTTATAATTATATTTACTAAAAATATGATTAATCAAATCTTGTAATTATTTTGAATAGTTGTACTATATTCCAAGTAATCCATACAAATATTGATGTATTTATATTTATTTACAAAAGGTACTAACCGTAAATGAAAATTTCATCTTCTTCATGCATTAAGTTTTTCTGGTTCAGTTTTCGTTATTGAGTACCTGAGTGCTATTCAGATTCTATTTAATATCTGATTGATGTCCAAGTATTAAAATGTGAAAGTGAAGCAATATACATTGTAATAAATGGTTATTAATAAATGGTTTGGAGATATTAACATAAATTTTCGGTTATCTGTAAGTATTAATTTTATAAATTTGTTTTTGTTCATATACCATTTTTTTATATATATCTAATTTTTTTTCCACTTCAAACCTAATACTTGGACCCTTAGAGCTAAACACATTAAATTTGCATGCCTTTGCATAAATACTGTTGATCTGTTCCTGCATTTCCAGAGAAATAATAATTACAGTGCATTCTGCGAGATGTTTCGGCACACGTGTCTTCATTACTATTTTAAAATAAGTTCTTAAGTTTCAGTTATTTTTCTTAAAACATAGAACAGTAAATAAAAAAGTAGAAAACAATGATCTCTGCTATTTACAATATTGTAAAATTTCTTTATACTCAGGTTTTGTACTTGCTAAGCCTCAAGATATTTTGCACGTGGACGATATTAAAAAAATAATTTTTGTAGATTTTATATATTAATTTTGAAATAAAAAACTATAAATTACTATACCAGTACCATAAAATTCCACTGTAATTTATCAGGCTTCCTAACTAAGTTGTATTTGAGTCTAAAAAATTTCATTTCTTATCACCCTATTACCATGACACTATTCTTCAAACTTGCAATGGAAAAGACAGCTTTACCCACATAAACACTTGATAAATACTGGCAGAATTATATAGCTAAAAAAGGAGTGCTTTTGATTGGTTATAAATATGTAATTGAGAGAAATAGTGTAGGTAAACAAGTATTTCCAAAAAAGAAAGAGGTGGGCAGAGCCACTGTGGTAGATTTACCAAATATAGTAATATTTTGTCAAATATAAAAGGTAGGAGGTTCTTATTTTATATTCTAGATTGTAAATATTGGTAATTTGAGTTTCTAATTCATAAGAAACATAGACATTGTATTGTGAGTGTCATAAAATGTAATCTCAACAAAAGCGAGAAAACATTGTATCACATGACATAAACAAATTTGTATTTATCAATTTGTTTTTAATATTTACTTTTAAATTAAGAAATTTTCTAATTTTTTGAGAGCTGAGTATGATCAATGCTGCGTGTCAGAGTTATCTGCTCTACTGACTGCCCCTCAAGTTTTTAGATGTGACAATATTCAAGTACTAAATTTTTCTTGCATTTTTATAGCACAATATTTATGTATTGAATTCATTATTATTTTGTGTTTTAGTATTCATGCAGTGGAATATTTTTATGTTGTTTAATGTTTATAGACTGAATTTCTTTCGTTTGTTGATACAATATTCAGTTTTTTTTAATGTGTCACAATATTTATCTGCCATTTTATTAATTATATTTAGTTGTTGTTTTTAATTTTTTATGTTATATTCTTAGACTGAATTACTTCTGTATTTAATAGACTTGTATTGAATTATTCTTCTGGTATAATTCTAGTTTTCACTAATAATTTTAAAATAGAAATGGAATATCAAATACTTTTTATTTAATATACAAAGTCATAACAGACTGAAATACCATAATTTATCTTCAAACATTAGCTTTAGTAATTTCCTTCTGTTGTTGTTGTTTTTATATATAAATAAATAAAATAGTTAATTCCAGTTGGGTTTAAACTGAGTTGTACATGTAACTTTATCTTGAGTGTTTAGTATAAGTAACTTTTGTCAAACAGTTGAGGCTTTTTTAGAACTCAAATTTTGTTTTTTAGCAAATCAGAATCTGTAGATGCTGTGAAAAAAATGCAATGTTTTGGATGTTAGGTTGATTGCCATTAGATATTTACATTTCCTATTATTATTATTATTATTTTGAATTGTTTACACTTCTCCAAGTGAAAGTATTTTCAGTACAGTAGGTCTGGTTTTATTTTATGTAATATTTTAATTTATATTTTGAAACTATGTTATTATTTTCTTATTTTGTTGTTTTTAACTGTTCTAGTTTATTTTGAG